GGCTGGGGACACGACCAGTGTAGAGCACTTGCTCAGCATGCCCACAGCCCTGGGTTTCATTCCCAGTACTGCACACCAGATCTGTCATGAGTTTCTCAAAGGAGCACAAATGAGCTCCAGGACAGCCATCTCCCAGGTTTTCTTTCCCCTCTAGGCAGGGTTTCTCTGTGAAACAGTCCTGGCTGTCCTGGAACTCACTTTGAAGACCAGGCTGGCCTCGAACTCACAGAGATCCTCCTGCCTCTGCCTCCCAAATGCTGGGATTAAAGGCATGCACTACCATGGCTTGGCCAGTCTCCCAGCTTTAGCTCTGCCCAGTGCCTTGCAGTTTTACTCATCCTTTTGTATTTTCTCTCCGGAATATTTCCGGGAAACAATAGGCTTGTAGTAATTTTAGCCATGTATTTATCTGAACTAGGCATAACAGCTCAAGGCATCAAAATACCATAATTATTTTTTTGCTTTTTTTTTTTTTTTTTTTTGGAGACAGGATTTCACTGTGTAGCTCTGGCTGATCTGGACCCTGCTTTGTAGGCAAGGTGGCCTGAAATTGAGCTATCCACCTGCTTTTGCCTCCTGGGTTGCTGGTTTAAAGGTATCTTTTTTTTTTTAAGATTTGTTTTAATTTTTTATTTATGTGTGTCTTTAGTTATGTTTAGTATGTGCATCTGTGTGCAGGTGCTGTGGAGTCCATAAGAGGGATGTCAGGTCCCCTGGAGCTGGAGGGAGATGCTGAGAGCAGAACTTGGGTCTGTTGTTTTGTTTTGCTTTTTGAGACATAGCCTTGGCTTCCTGGTATGTAGATCAAGCTGGCCTCAAACTTAAAGACCCCCCTGCCTCTGCCTCTTGAGTCTTGAGCTTAAAGGTGTGCTCCATTATACCTGGCTCTAACTTGGTCTTCTTGAGAACAGCAACTGCCAAGCCGTCTAGTCCCTGGTTATCACATCTAAGCATTAAATTAAAAAAAAACATCTTTTTACTTTCGTGTATGTATCTGCTGACCTGTATGTGTGTGTGTGTGTGTGTGTGTGTGTGTGTGTGTGTGTGTGTGTTGGTGTGTAGATAGTAGGAGAGGATAGATGTTTGTGGAGATGAGAAGGTCGCCTGGGCTGGAGTTAGAGAAGGGTGTAAATCACTGAATATGGGTGCTGAGAGTTGAACTCCAGGACTCAACAAGAGTAGCCAGTGCTCTTAACCATAGTGTCTTTCCAGCTCTCGAGTATGGTTTTTGAGATAAATTTTCACTTAACCTAGGCTTGCTACAAACAGGATCCTGATCCTGCCTGTACCTCCCAAGTGCTGAAATTATAGGTGTGCATAAGCATCCTATCCAACACAGCTATGTATAGTTGACTTGTAGTTGAGTTCCAATCTCTTCCTTGACATGGGAAGAACCTGGATCAGCTGGTCACAGCAACAATTGTGAATAGGAGCTGCTGACACTTAGGGGTCAGAGGGACTTGGGTTTCATGGCTTAAGTAGGCTGGTCTGCTTAGTTTTCGGGATGTTGAACTTCTAACTTGGCAGTGTTTGGTAGGTAGTCCTGACGCCCTTTGGGAAGGTCTCTGGCCAGTCTTGGCAGTTTGTCCTTGCAGCTTATACCTTTTGAGAGTTGTGCCTACAATACAGTCTTTGTTGGAACACTGTGGTTGGAGGGCCTCACTGGTGTGATGGAGCACAGTGCTGTGGAAGGAATCAGCCGTTGGATGGTGCACAATTGCAGGCTGGACAGGCTGTTTGTAGGGTACCGGAGTGGAGTAGGTTGTAGTTTGCATGTGTTCAGAGAGTTTTTTGCCCTGCAGACTTGTGTTACACACTTGGGTGCCTTAGCTTTTCCAAAGTTGAGTCCATGGGGTATCTCCTTGGTGCACTTGTTTCTACCTTTTAGCTTTTCCACATGTTACTTTGTCTTTTAATTATGTTAATTTTTTATTGCTTGGGGGCGGGCACATGCCATGCCTGAGGAGGTTCAGAGGACTATTTGGGGGAGGAATTGGTGGTCAATGCCCTTATCCCTTGAGCCATCCTGCTGACTCCTCCTTTTAGAAAGGTTTTTCAACAGTTCTGTACATGTGTATAATATATTTTGATTATTCCTGCTGAATCCCTTTCAACAAGTCCCCTCTTGCCCCAGGGTTTTTTTGTTTTTTGTTTTTTTTGCTTTGTGTGTTATTGTTTTGTAGCCCATTATCCCTAATTAGGGTTGCTTGTATACGTGTGAATGTGTGGTGGTGGTGGTAGGGGTTCCATACTGGAGCATGAGCGACTTCACAGTGGCTTCCTTCCTCCCTGAACAAAATGACTGTCTCCCTCAGCAACTATTAACTACCTAGAGCTCCTCAGCAAGGGTGGGGCCTCATAAGCTCCTCCTTCACCCATGCTAAAAAGTTGATGAGGCCCTGCATAATGTAGCTCCTGTGAGGCTAGCTACAGCTGCTATGAGTTTGTGCGTGCAGTGGTCATGCCGTCCAGAAGACACGCTTTCTTTCACAGTACTCCTGCTGCATCTGCCGCTCTCCATGGTCTCTGCTCTCTCCTGTGATGTTTCCAGGACCTTGTAGTGAGTGAATAGATGTTCCATTTAGGGTCAGTCACTCACGCAGTAATCACTTACCTTTAGCATTTGGACTGGTTATATGAGTCTGCATTAACCCAGGCCCACTGCAAACAAGGCTGAGAGCTCTCCTTGTTTGTCTGTGTGACAGAAGCTCTTTAGGACCTTCTGTCTGTCCCTGTAGTGTCCTGTGGGTCAGAGTTCCCACCTTTTTTTCCTTCTCTAAACACATAGAGTTGATATTTTGATCTTTTTGTATATGTGTGTGTGTGTTTGATTTCTTTGTGTGCTTGATGTGTGTGCATGTGTGTGTGAGAGGAGAGGACCCAGAGGAGGAAGATAGTGTGTGTCCTGATCTATCACTCCAGAGACCTTAGTCCTTACACAGGCTCACTCACTGAATCTGGAGCTAGGCTGTAAGCAGAAAGCTGTAGCCATCCTCCTGTCTCTGACCCACACACTGCTGGGATTACAGACTTAGTACATGAGTGTTGGGATTCACCCCCTGGTGCTCATGCTTGCTTAGCAAGTGCCTTTATCCAGTAGGTCATGCCCTGCTCTGTCTGTCTATTGAGATAAGAGTTTTGCTCAGTAGCCTAGGCTGGCCGCAACTTTTACACCCCTTGGCCTCTGCTTCCTGAATACAGGGCAACAGGGGAGTATTGCCATTTCTAACAAGCAGTTTTCTTTTCTTTTTTCTTTTTGAGACAGGGTTTCTCTGTGTAACCCTGGCTGTCCTGGAATTTGCTCTGTAGACCCAGTCTATCCTCTATCACACAGTACTCCTTCTGTTCCTGTCCTCACAAAGTGCTAGGATTGTACAAGAATAGCACCCATATTTTGATGAACATTTCTACTTGCAACATTTTTTTTGTAGCTTCTTAATCTTATGTCTTATTTGATTTTTCAAAAAAATTTTGTTTGAGACAGGGTTTCTTTGTCTAACAATCCTGGCTGTCCTGGAACTCTAGACCAGGCTAGCCTTAAACTCACAGAGAGCCTCATGCCTGTACCTCCTGAGTGCTGGGATTAAAGGTGTTCGCCACCATCAGCTGGCTGATTTTTCAGATTTTTGTATTGCATTTATTTGCACAGGGAGGGATGTGCTATGGCACACATGTAGTCAAAGGACCACATGGATCTATCCTGTGTGGGCCCTAGGGTTTAAACTCAGGTCATCAGGCTTGACGGCAACCCATCAATCCATCTTGCTAGTCCTCCTCCTTTGTTTTTCGTTTTGTCAGGATGTTGCCTTGTAGCTCATTCTGGCCTTGAACTCTAGACATCCTACCTGGATCACTTACGTGTGCCATGATGCCCTGTTACATTATGTTTTGAGTTTCCGATTTAGTGCTGGGATAGCACCCAGTGCCTGCAGTAGTAAAGCTAAGCACATGCTTTACTACTGAGCAACCTCTGTTTCGCCTCCTGCTTCGGTTTATTTATAAAGCCCAGCATGCTTGGGTGGCGGAATATAGGCAGTGAAATGAGCATGTGCTTAGCTCTATGAGTCTCTGTGGTTGAGTCTGGAACTTCAGACTAAGTAAAATTTTGATTTCTGTAACAAATGCCTCTAATCTAGCACTTGAAGGTAGGGTAGAGGAGAATCCAGAATTGAAGGTCATATTCCCCTGTGTAGCAAATTTGAGACCAGCCTTAGCTACCAGAGATCCTACCTTGAAAAACCAACCCTGGGAGGGAGATAGCCTGATGGATAGGAATGCTTGCTGCACAAGCATGAAGATCTGGGCTAGAATTCCCAGTGTCCTCGTAAAAAGCTGGACTGGACATGGCCTCAAGAAGGATGTAGCCCTACTGTGTAGGTGGGGCAGAGACAGGAGGGTACCAGGGGCTTTCTGAGTGCCAGCACAGCTCTAGGTTTGGTGAGAGGCTCTGTTGCAAGGGGATAAAGTGGGGAATGATAGAGCAGGACACCTAAAGCCTTCTCTGTCCTTTCACGTGTACCCACAAAGACTTGTGTGCATGTACCACACATTTGCAAGATTGTCAGTGGTAGAGCATATGCCCATAGGAATGCTCTAGAACTGCAGAAGAGTCCAAGCTAGGCTTGATGGTGCACACCTGTACTCATGGCACTTGGGAGGTGGAAGCAGAAGGATTTAGACTCGGGAGCCAGCCTGGGTTGCATAAAATCCTGACACCCTCTCTGCTGCCCCCCAGCATGCTATATAGGAAGAAATGAAACATGGGCAAGCAGAAACCCCCTCAGTGTGTGGCTGGATTCAGATAGGTCTTCTGGAATCCTGCTGTCTTCCTGTGAAGGGAAATTGGAGTGAGTTGCTTGGCTACCTGGGAAGACAGATGTGTCCTGCTGTGATCCAGCCCTTTGTGAGCTGTAGCCTTCATTCTTACTACCAAGTATATGGCTGTTGAGAGCACGTGTCTCTGGGGTATTTAAAACTAAAAAGTTTTTCTGGTCTTATAGATAGTTGAAGTATTGGTAACACCAAGGAAAGCTGTCACAATTTGAAAAGATAATCCAAGACTGATTTCCAGACACTACAAGAAAAAAGGAAGGAAAAATGGTAAGACAAAATTTTTCTTTGATCATAGACACTATTTTTTCACTTATATACGATACCCATAGCGTGTCCCCAAAGCATTTGCTGAGGTTAATATTTTGTCTTAAGACATTTTAAATTCTTTAAAATAATTACGTGTCACGATGTGAATACAGTAGTCCCCCCTTAGCCGTGTTCTCGCTTCCCGCGGATTCAGTTACCTGCGGTCCACCGCAGTCTGAAAATATTAAGTGGAAATTTCCAGAAAGAAAAAAATTGCTAAGTTTTAAATTGTGCGCCATCCTGATGCCTGCGTCATTCACCTCACTTCATCTCATCACGTAGGCATTGTACCATCATCACTTCATCACAAGAAGAAGAAGGGTGAGTAGGATGGGCAGCTACTTGGAGGGAGATCACATTCACATTCCGTCCCGTCTAAGCCCCTCCTGTGCCCGACTGACTGACCAATTAAACTCCACACCTGTGTGCCTAGAGGTTAAACCCAGACCACATTTGGATTTTGGTGCTGTCCGCGGTTTAAGGCATCCACTGGGGTCTTGAAATGTGTACCCCGCGGATAAGGGGGGACTACTGTAGTATAGCGAGCGATACGTAAAGTACCCCATGTCTGCTGCTGCTTGAGAGTCTCCTCTCAGGCTGTGGGCCATATTCCCATCGTCTGTTCTGTGAAGGATGGACTGGTACTAAGTGGTGAGGGGTGGGCTGCTGGCTGTCCTGGCGTCATTTTTAGCGTAGTTTTCGCATTTCCAGCGTCCCATGAGAATTTTTGTGAATGATGATCGCCATGTGATGGCAAAGCATTCTTCAGTGTACCCAACGCAAGAGGAGCTGGAGGC